AAGCAGTGGTATCAACGCAGAGTACTCGCGCATCCGAGCGACTTTATATCAAGGAGAGGACTCCGCTGCAGAATGTATCGCAGCGTATACTGTAAGTGATTTCTTCTACTTTTGCGAGTTATGAAAGTTATGAAAACACTTTCAAGAATCAGGAGCGAATTTACGAAGAATCTGACGTGCCGGCCGTGGGGGTGGAAGCAGAAGTCCCGGAAGATATGTGATAATCCAACGTACGTCTTCTGTTTAGGGAACGTTCATGAGCGTCGGGAGTTCATCATGGTGGGAACCAACGCCTGTCGCAGAGCCACCAATCACGTCACTGTTCGAGTGCCTCTCAAGAGGCATTATCCATCTGAAGGTCGCAAAAGTAATGGCCACGAAAATGAAAGGAGGATCATTTGATCAAGCCGCACTTGATGTAAGTTTTCTTTACGCTCTACAAGCCAGTGATCGTATTATGGTTCTTATTTCAGGAATTAAAGGCAGTACAATACCGCTCATAATTCGTCAAAAAAGTCGCCGGACTGCGGCGCACTCCTGCCACACTCCGGCGCACTGTGGCGGAGTGTGGCGGAGTGCGCCGCAGTCCGGCGACTTTTTTGACGAATTATGAGCAGTATTGTATGTCGGCAGAATGAGACCCGTGGCAAAACAAGGTCACAGGGTAGGAGCCCCCCATAATGGAACCTATGGGCCAAAGTTCGATCTTTCTCTGCCATTTCTAGGCCCCCGAAATTTCAAAGCGAAAGCAGCGCTCATCTCCTGTCCTCTCCGAACCCCGCCCACCCCATGGACGAGTGAACGCGAAGCCCCGTCATGGCAATGACGCAGAGTCGTTGCGGGACCTCATGCTTATAGCATTGCGGCTGGCGCTCTGACCGCGGAAGTCACTCGTCCATGGGGTGGGCGGGTTCGGAGAGGACGGGAGATGAGCGCTGCTTTCGCTTTGAAATTTCGGAGGTTAGAAGTGTCAGAGAAAGATCGAACTTTGGCCCATAGGTTCCATTATGGGGCTCCTACCCTGTGACCTTGTATTGCCACGGGTCTCATTCTGCCGATCCATGCCTTTAAAATCGGATATCGCAACCAGGGCAAATCTGCGCTTCGACGATCTCATTCGTCTCGACAGGCCAAACGCACCACTTCTCAACGCATTGACTGCAAGATTAATGGTTTGTTCAGCAATACATTTACCTTTTCTTCTTCTTATTGTTGCTTCTTATGTTGATTACAGAGCGAATTAGCACTGTCGAAGCAGCAAAAAGTGGCACGCCTCCTGGAAGTGACGGAGAAGACAACGCCGGCCAATCACAATGACACGATCCTACCGCTGAAAATTCCGCCAAATTATGGAGTTTGGACTTTCCAGCTCCATTTGCAAAGGTAAGTGACCATTTTGACTGTAAATTTGTAACATGCAATGTATTCAGCTCAAATCAAACGAATTGTGCACCCAGTGGGTGCACAGGAAGAGGGACAATCTTCATCAGCAGCTCACATCACTGTATCGTTTTATATTGTTGCGGGTAAGTCGAATAGAGCTTTCATTTCGCAAATTATTAAAGTCATTCTTTTTTTTTTCAGGCAACTAGTCGGCCTTAAGCTATCAAAGAGTAGGCGATTCGTGTAAACAAGAGCAGCGGGAGAGACGTAAGACTCAAAACCCTACCGGAGGTTGTCGAGGAAAAGCTAGAAGGTAAGTAATTGGGTTTTTTTTCAACTATTACTTCATTGATGAGTATTTAGATTTTGCGGATTCGGTCACGACGAATTGAGGCCCTCCACAATCACCAATTTAGAGGAGTCTGAGTAAGCCTAATCAGCACACGTCTAAATTGGAATTAGTTTATTTTTGCAGATTTTTTCTGAGCCTGGGGAAAACTCGGCAGGAGCGAATGGAACACCTCGACGATTTAACCCGAAAAAGGCACGATTGGAGACCCGTATTATTCAAAAGTTTGCAAATATCGCACTGTAAGTATCTAACTATATTTTGGAAAAATCCCACTATATTTCTATTTAGTTGTGAACGCGGATATGGTACGACACAGATCAGAAGAAATGGTTCCCAAACAATGTAAGTTTTCGTCACTTGATTTGAAGGTTTGATCTGTTGGTGTGTATCTTTTTAGCGGCAAGCGAAAAGGTCTGTAGCAGACTTGGGAGACCAAGTCCCAGCACCGTCGCAACAAGCACCGTTGCGACAAGTACCGCAGTCCAAGCAAAACCGGAGCAACCTCGAAGTCAGCCAAGCCGCGACCCCAACGAGTGTTACCGGTCCGTCGTAGAAAAACGGTTTGGAAAGTCCCTAAGCCTTCCCATAAGTTTATCGTAGTCTATTCTGCTCAATGTTTCAATTCTCCATTTTTTTTCACATTTTCGCTCGTTGTACGGAATTGTTTCGGGTGCCCGATGTGTGATTGTTGTATTTAATCGATTTAACTGTCTAAAATGCAGTATCGTTTCTCAAAACAGAAAATAAATGATTTCAAATTGATTTTTGGCCACACACATTTAGAATGCCGTACCAGTGGCGTGAAAACAAAACTTTCGTACCAGCGGAGTGAGCATAAAAATGCCGTACCAGCGGCGTTAAAGGCAGTGGCTCGGCAAATCTCAACCTGTCAAAATTGCGCTTACCTGGGGGTTATTCAATACGCTGATCCCGAAAATGCACTTTTGAAAGCTTGAAAACGGCGAAAATAAGTGTTTTATTAATGCCCTTCCCTTTGGAATTGGACGAATGGAGCAAGGCCGATGACGCTAAATCGTTGCAGGACCCAATGGTTATAGCGTTGCGGAGGGCAGCCTCCAATGGTGAGAAGGAAATTGCCAACTCGTCCAGATGCGGGTAAGAAATGCCTGCGCGTGTAAGTTTGAGAGCGATTTTCTCGGCAGGGAAAGCATGCTGTGCAACCGTGAGTGCACTGTTTTCATACTTGGGCGATAAGGAACCTACTGCGTTAAAATCCTGAGTCGTTGGATTTTGCCGATCCACTGCCTTTAAGTCATATATGGCGTACTAGCGGCGGGAAGGCAGTAGTTCCGTACCAGCGGCGCCGATGTGACAGCGTATCGTCCCTTTAACATTTGCTGCTACCCTTCTGGCGTCGCGGACGTGCCACGTGTGACTAACACGCTGGCAACGTTGGCAGAACACGTTGGCAGCAACACGTTGACAACATGCAGCAACATGTTAGCGTGGCCAGAATGTTCTGCCAACATGTTGTGGCATGTTGCAAACATGTTGTTGTTGCCACGTTGCCAACATGTTAGCCACACGTGGCAGGTTTGAGACGCAGACCAAGGGTAGCAGCAACTAGATATCCGGTATCTGGACGGCATACAAATGCCGGATTCCGATTAGAGCGCGATATCTGCCACTCTTGCTACAGCAGCGCCGGTACCCCAACAGAGCTGTATTTCTCCTTTGTTATTTCAACCGACATAATCATCGCAGTCTTGTTTCTACTCTATTCTTCTCTTCATCCTTGTAGTACCATGTTGCTGTCATTAAAAGCTTTTTTGTGGATCTTAACTGATTTCTTCGCCATCCCTAGTATCCGGGCCCCAAAATTTCAAAGCCGTATATTTCGTTACAACTCGGTCTGTGGGGGTTACCCGACAAGGTGGCCATGAATATCACACTCTACTTGCACAAAAATGTCATTCGGTGGGGCTAGGTATGCGGTAGGGCGGTCAAACGGCACTATGCTATCCGGGCCCCAAAAATGTTTCGTCATGGAGTTTGCTAAAGCTTGGCCCAGGGGGGGGGGGTTATTCAGCCCGCTGATCACAGATATCGTACTGGTTTTGTAGGTAGCGTCATTTTCTGCGATTACGGTGGGTATACGGTAGGGGGTCGAAATCGTGGATTTGCCTGAAACTTGGCACAAGGGGGTAATTTGACATGCTGATCACAGGTATCTCGTTTTACCTCACGAAGACGTTTTCCTGTGTGGATATGGTAGGTATACGGTAGGGCGTAAGGTACGCGCAAATCTTCTTCCCCTGTGTTTGCTTAGGCAAAGCCCCCGCTGAGTGTGTCGCGCGTGACGATGTTCATTTATGAAAGGCATGTCGGTAGGGCGAGTCCTACACCCAACACCAAACGCAAAGTTTCAAGCAAATTTGTCATTCTTGACCTCTACCGTAAACCTACATTAACTTCACAAAAAGGCCTCATCATGCGAAAGAGTACGATTTTCGTGATTAGCATGTCGAATAGTTCCCCCCCCCCCCCCAAAGCCGAGTTTCAGTGAAATCCATGATTTTGACTCCCTGCCGCATAGCCACTGTAGCCCCAGAACATGACGCTACCGTACGAAATAAATATGATATTCGGCATCAGCGGGTCAAATAACCTCTCTAGGCGAAGTTTAAGCGAAATTCGTGATTTTGACCCCCTATCGTATATCCACAACACCGGAAAACGGCGCTACCGCGCACCAATTTAATATTCGGTATCAGTGGGTCGAATAACCTTCTTAGATCGAGTTTGAACAAAATCCAAGACTTGATTTCTGTTCGCTGTTACATTTTGTGTTGGAGATTTTCGCTTTGTTTATGTATCTTTGATGGTTTGATCTATGCTTGAGATGTTTCATTGCAGTTCGGTGCCCCAAGATGTTGACAAGGTCGTATGTCACATTTACCGAAAAGGACCATGTTTACTGCCATGTGTTTTCTTTTCATATTTTCTGAGGCCAGTAGTCGACAAATTTTGAGTGATCAGTAGTGATCTAAACGTATAAGGAGGTGCCACGAAAAACAAACATTATTGAGAGCCACATGTCAGAGGTCAAACTGCGCATGGCGGCTGCTCTGCCGAATACATTGAGAGATAATTCATGTCCCATGTCCCCCAAGGACTCTCCTGCGCTGAAGAAGCACAGCGGCAGTGTGGGGAGGGAGAGAAGAAGGAGTGGAGGCAGATACATTACACACGACGCCATAAGTAGTAGTAAAGACGAGAGTCTTCAGACCAGGAGAAATATCACGTCTATCGAGAAATTGGCGCTGCCGTAGCAGGAGTTATAGATATCGCGCTCTAACCGAAATCCGACATTTGTACAGTAGTTTCGACCCGCTTTAGGCGGAAATTGGATTCGCGGGAGTCCGCCTCGCAACAGCTCGCGCCGTTTCGCAGCTACAGTATATCCTATCGTGCTGAGAACCCATGTCTGCGTCTCTTCAATCTCCTTAGTATTTGCTTGGCAAAATGCCAGCGCTATGCGCTCGCAAAGCCTCCAGCGATGCGCATGCGCTGCTCCACGTAGAATGTCTCGCCTAATCCGGGATGAAACCGACTGTGGGTACCCTCGATATCATCCCATATGTCTTCTCTCAACATAACGTGGATTACGTGGCTTGATGAAGCGCCGCCTCGCCTCGGGCTCGCGCCACGTTGCGAGCGCATCATTTGGCGCGACGTGGCGCTCAGCATAACGTGGCGCAGGCTTTTCCACGTTCTTCTTGTTGACACATCACGCCGAAGATGCGCACGCAAACGTGGCGCAAGCCTGAGGCGGCCTCATCAAGCCACGTAATCCACGTCATGTTGAGAGAAGACATATGGGAGGATATCGAGGGTAGTGCCGTCTAGATACCGGATATCGCAGCAACTATGGAGGGGACGATACCAGAGGCGCGAAATTCGCGTATCACCCGAGCGCATTTAGCGAGCGAACGGTCATTGAGGAGTCCGCTCGTACGCAAAGTTCTCGCGGCTCGTCCGCGCATGTCAGAGTATTATAAAATATATCTATACGACAGTCGAGGAAAGCGGCGAGGCTTTGGGAACTCCTGCCACGCCGCCCCCTTAGCTCCTAGTGACATATCGTGGAAGAAGCTACACTTAGCGCTCTAAGGCAATTGGGGTGCGGCAAATGGAGCACGTTATGCATTCACTTCTGCTCTTACTATTGTAATTGTCCAATATGTATTCCAGTATGGACGACGATGTCCCTCTAAGTATGTAGCTTGTTCTACATCACTGTAACTAAATTGTGAACTGTTTAAGAAATTAACTAATTGGTTCAGGCCAGAATTTCCTGCTATCGTGTTGTTTTCTTTCACTTGACGCCTCACTATAACTTTGTCTTTTTGCAGCAGGGATGGACACGGCGCGTGTGGTAAAGTTCGAGTCGCATACTGGTGATCCGGAAAGAGATCTGGTTTATGAGCGAGAACGGAGGCGTGTTGGTTTGTGCAGGCCTCTTTTTCCAGTTTTTTGATGCATCAAGGAAATGATTATGCGAATTTTACAGTATTTCTTTTTTCTGTTGCATTTTCTTTATTAGTTTTTCTCAATGGTACAACATAAAGTCAGTTTTGCTGGAGCTTCGGTGCAAATCCATGTTGATATTTAGTGGACGAAGATGGGGTTCCTACCGAAGTCGCAGATTATCTGGATTACTTTGCGCAAATGATCGAGAAGAAAGATGTTGCCGAAATACACAATCTATATGAGCAGCACTTTCCCGATTTGACTGAAAGGTGTTTTTTATTGCTTCACTTTTCCTGCAGCTATAGTTTGCGCCTTTAACTTTTTCCCAGTTGTTTAGCTGTTCTCAGACTTGGTTTTTAGGTTTTATCGCGAGCGTATGTGGCCCGACGAGCAGACTGTTGAAAGTATTGTTGGTAGTGGTGGGTTTCCTTACTGCTGATTGTATAAAGATTGTAATTTGCAAGTGCAGCGTTGTTTATCTATTGAATTTGAAGGCTATCTACGGACGGGATTTTGATTTCTATGAACTTCTATTATAGCCGGTGCTACTTTCGCGTGGATAATATTCAGAATGACAAATTCACATCGCGGTCTGCCTATCAAAGTTATTCTTGCGCTATGTATTGAAATTTCTGAGAAAGCGTTTTTGTTATAATGATCGGAGATTTTGTAACCTTCAAACGGGCATAAGAAACGCTAAACTCTGCGATAAACACACAGTTTGCTCCGGCTACGCTTTTGGTAAAACTGCTTGCACATGCTCGGCTTCGTAAAATACAGTAATTCTGCTCAGTCAGATCCTGTGCTGCGCTCTTTGTTCTCTCTTAACAGGAAGGCTTCCCAAGTCAGCTCGGCCAACCCGGATGAGTCATATATCACCGTAACGGGCTCGAGACGCTGATTCCAAATCTGCCGTTTCCAGCTGCGGAGCGGTCCTGCACGAGAAGTTATGGGTGGTGTTTCCCTCCAGAGTTGAGGCACCCGTCAAAGGATCCAGTGCTCCAAAACCATTTACAAGCCCAAATTTACATTTTGCAGAAAATTGCAATAAAGTTACAATTAACGGAATTCGGACCCGTGACCCTCTTCCTATCGAGCAAGATACTTACCACTCAGACGACCACGCGCCTCCTATATAGCGCTCATAAACAAGGGGAGGCAAGTTGACGGGTGCCTCAACTCTGGAGGGAAACACCACCCATAACTTCTCGTGTAGGACCGCTCCGCAGCTGGAAACGGCAGATTTGGAATCAGCGTCTCGAGCCCGTTACGGTGACATATGACTCATCCGGGTTGGCCGAGCTGACTTGGGAAGCCTTCCTTGTTAGTATTTTCTGTGGGCTGAAAGAAATACTTGCAGACAGTGTGATAATTTCACCAGGTATCTCGGCATTTTTGGCAGGGGAAATGTGGACATATATTCATATGTATCCCACTGATTTTATTGCAAAAGTTTCCAATAATCTTTTTTTTGACCAGTCAACTCAGCATTGAACTCGCTTCTCTTCCCAGTCACCGGATTTTTTTTTACAGAAAATCGATTGTTCATAATCTTATACAAGGAGCTGTACTACCGCCAAGTTTATGCTCGCAATCAGCGTGGTCCATCTCTTTCACATCGATTTGAATCCTTCATGAATTATCAGGCACGCCGGCTTTCCTCCGTGATTGCTTAACCTGACATTCATCATTTAGGATCTGTTCTCGGAAATTCTTTCAAGCAAAGAGCCAGTTTCTCTGTCTCTCCCAAATGTTTGGCTCTGGGATATTATAGACGAGTTCGTATACCAGGTAAGAAATGCTTTTTGTCTTCTGTTCATAGGTAAATGTGGTGCTCTTTGAGTTCCAAGCATTCTGCCTCTATAAAGCAAATCCTCAAAAGAGAAGTGTTGACGAAGTCGATGAGCTGATCAGCATTGAAGAAGCACAAAATGTGAGTGGTGATGCCATTGTTGTCGTTTCCCTTTAGCTTGTAAATGTTTTAGGCTTGGAACATCTACCCAGTGTTGAACATACTGTACTCTTTGCTTTCGAAGTCGCAGATCAATGAGCAGCTGGCGGCCATCAAAGCGCGAAGTGTGCCCGTTTAGTTGGAAGATCTCATCACACATAATGGATATACTGATTTTTCAGAGAATCCCGACACTGTAGCAGACGAATTCGGTCAATCTCCGCTTTATTTCAAACTAGGTTACTTTTCTTTGATTGGGCTCTTGAGAACACATGTGCTTCTTGGGGACTATCATCAAGCACTGAAGACCGTTGCCAACGTGGAGTTCGACGCAAAGGTTTGTGTTTTCCATGTGTTCACTTCATTCAACCTTGGTGTTTGTGCTGCTACGCTATCGTTTTTCTGAGAATGATTTTGATTTTTGACAACTTAGATTTTTTCTTCTTTTTTTTTCTTGCGCTAAGCAGGATATTGATGATCGTATGTTGATGCTCACGTCGGAATAGTCGTTACATATCTTAACTCAAAGTTTTCTACGATATATTGTCATTGTCGTGATGTCACCTCAGGGCAGCTTTAGGCTCTTTCGCTATTTTTGAACGTATCACAGTTTTGTTTGCGTCGTTGTGAAAAGCAAAAGAAGCTTCAAGAATCAGCTTGTTTGACTAATCGGGAACAAAATGCGGTTTTTGTGGATGATCACTGCAAAAACGAGCCACCAATATTTTTAAGGGTCTCTACAATACCGTCCCATCATGTCTTGTCACCTTGCACTACTTCGTTGGCTTCTCTCATATGATGATGAGGAACTATGGTGAAGCAACGAAAATGTTTGTGAATTGTTTGATGTTCATCCAAAGGACAAAGTCTATCCAGGTCCAACAACAAAAACAGAAGAATTTCCAGTATGATGTGGTAATTTTTGATTTTGTTCTGTTATTTATTTTCTTGTCTGACCTACCTGTGGTTTGCATTGAAAATATTGCTCACGAAAATCTCACTGTTTACGGTAGTTTAGTCTTAATATTGTTTTTTTAGATCGGAAAAACCTACGAGCAGCTCTTCCATCTTCTGGCCATCTGCCTAGCAATCCAACCCCAACGAATTGATGAAGCAATAGCATCGCAACTAGCTGAACGTTGTGGCGATCGCATGTCGCGGATGGCAAATGGAGATCTTGACGAGTTCCGTCTGGCCTTCCAAACCGGGTATGCGATGCTTGTGTTCGATTTTTTTGCATCGCGACGTGCTTATACTAACTTCAATCGGTGTTTGCTGCTGTAATCCGCATAGTTTTGATCTACTTGGCTTCCCACTTCCGTTTGAGAAGCTTGGAGACTTGCTGTGAAAACGTAAAGTAATTCTTGAGAAAAGCAGCTTTCGTACTTGCATTCACAAAGCTGGCTCACAATCTACTCTACACTGTTGTAGACAAACCTCTTGAGAGATTTTTGTTCTTTACCCTTTGATATAAAGTCTCCATTATGTTAACTCTCACTCCTCACCATTTGTGGTACTTAATTACATGAGCTTTTCAAGACGTTTGCTAGCTTGACACGACACATCTTTGGACAAATTTACTTGAATTTTATACAAAAGTGCTTCGAAATTCTATTCTTGCAGTTGTCCCAAATTCCTGTCGCCAACCACTGTTGTATACGAAGGGTCAAACCTTTCGAAGGTTAGTTCAGATTCGCGGTCTTATTCGGATTTTGCTATAAAAGCGTCTCACAGGAACCACTTTTGCGGCAGTCTCAAGCGTTTTTGGAGGGAGTTGAAGCACAGATGGCTCTGCCAGTCTTGCGTGGCTATCTGAAACTGTACACTTCCTTGCCTACAAAGAAACTGGCATCATTTATGGATGTAGATGATGCAAGCTATGATTCTTTCCTTGGAAAATTGTTGACGTACAAGGTAATGTTTATTGCTTTTGGTTATGTCAAGATTTATCTATACTCACAGATGATAGTGAATGAACTTGGAAAAGATTCAATAGCTGCGCCAAATGATGATGACGAACCTAACACGGACATAGATTTCTATGTTGATAAGGTGAGTGGCCAACTGTAAGCATTTTCATGGGCTCAAATGAAAATCTTATCATAGGACATGATTTGTATTGCGGATACGAAGGTGGCAAGACGTGTTGGAGAACATTTTATTCGCCATATGCAGAAACTTCATGAGGTTTGTGAGATACAATGTCTTTATGATTGATTCATTGCTCACATCGAATTTGATATCTTTCCTATGTCTTAATCAATCATTTTTGTGGGCATTTGCGCGGTGCTGACCGTTACTACCTTATGTTGTTGGGGTAATGCAGGACCTCATTTGCGCGCGATACATTCAGCTTCAGCTTTTTGCCTTAGGAGATATAAGTTGCTTATTGTTCTTCCATAACGATGTAATCCTGCTAGTTCTAATTCTTAAGTTGGGGCCCAGCGTATTATTCGTTACAGCAAAGCAAGCACTGCAAATTGGCTTCAATGTCCACACGAAATTCATCCATGTGAACTTCAAAAATCTACATTCTCAATGATCTGAAGAGTGATATCTGTCCAGAGTTCTGCAGACCTTCCACTGTCCAAGCATAGCTTCTCATATCACAAATCCTTATGTACGCCTGCCGTATCTTTTTGTGGTCAGAAACTGAGGAAATGAAATTCAGGCTCTGCTTACAAGGGAAAGACAACATTAGTCATGTCAGTAGAAGCGCCTTTCAAAGCTGATTCCAAATCTGCTTTCCTTTTTTTGCGGAACGGCTCTCCGAAAGAAGTTATGAGCATTTGAATGTTCTTTGCCAAGAATTGAGTGGCTTGAAATTAGCAAAAGCTCTAAAACAATATCTGTGCGATTTCTGCCGGCTTAGCCTCTTCCTTGCAAACAATATACTTGATACAAAACTGATTTCCCACTTTCCGCTGTTTTTGTACAGCTTTTCGCCAATCTTAGGAGACATAAACCTTGAAAAATTTGAAAATCTAAACGCTCATAACTTCTTTCGGAGAGTCGTTCCGCAAAAAAGGAAAGCAGATTTGGGATCAGCGTACAAAGCGCGTCCGCTGATATACATCTCATCTTCATGCGTTAACTAATTTTGGTATCCGTCCTTCATTGGAGCAATAATTCCCTTTTGGCCTGCACATTTTTTCGACTTACAGCAATGTCTGATGTGGAGATTTTACGCGGCAATCTGAAGCTCGCTAGGATTTTTTGAACGGTGGTTCGATTTTACGGACAGTTGGAAAATCTATAATTCGAGCTTCAAATTTCAATTGGAGCAAACTTGTACATCTTGTTAACGTCTAGAAACTCAGGCCTTCTCAAAGAAATTAGCAGCTTTCTATTTGAAAGAAAAATTATGAGACAGCCTGGCAGGAGAGGTGAAGAAGATTTGCTGCGTGCGCGGCTGGTCGGAGTGTGAGATGCAAAATGGCTTTCGCTTCATTTTTTCTCTAAAACAGATTATTGAAGAGGAAGGTCAACCAAATGAATACCTTGAATATTTGCTGTGCAAACTACGTTGTAAGTTTTGTCTCTTTCAGGTTCAAAAATTGCTGAAGAAATTGGAGAATAAGCCCTAGTTATTAGTTTTGATTTGCTTCCGGTTGTCGTTTGTTCTATGCCTATCGTTGATATGTGTTGTCTGTTTCTTTTCTGATGCGATTGTCATTTTGTAATAAACTTGTTGAGGTGGGACACGAAGAGGCCATTTGATTCTGATGAAACTAAAATATTTGAAACTCAACAGTAAGTTGGGTCAACCCTGCTTTTTCCCATCTGGTACACACAGAACAACCTGAACTTTTGAGGCAGTTTCTAATTTGAATGGAAGTATAGACTTGTGTATAGTATGAGCGCTAAATGATCTAGTATCTTCCACGGTAGCGTCAAAACAATCTCCAAGTCGTGACATCACTACCTGAGATCTATTATGCATTCATCGCTACCAAACTAGCAAATTAGATCTATGTCTGGCTGATCTTGTTTGGTTTACAAGCTCCCTGGTGATGCTTGCATCACTTAACTCTAGTTCTTGGCTCACTAGCTTTGTTTTATTTTTTGGTCAGTTTTAATTCATGAAAGTTAGCAGAAATCTGTTGTCATTTTCGTTTAATGTCGCTTCAAATGTAAATAGCAGGCACCACTTTGTTTGGGCATACGATTCTACTTAGTGAATTTTTGATTAGTGAGAGATTCCTGCTTAGAGAACGGGGAGGGCATATTTGATTGTGGGGCAGCAGTTTTCCAATTTTTTGTTCGAACCTGTATGGCCAGTTTCCTCGAATAAGCAATTCGAGTTGAGTTTTTTTTAATCAGCGTATGCAATTAAGTCATACTTCAGATACTCAATCAGAGCTTAACAAACGAAATCTCAAGATTGTTCATCAATATTCCTACAGTTTGAGAACGAAAATTGCCTTGAGAACCCTAACCATTCCGCTTATAGCAACCTCGATAAATTAGTACATTGAACATCTTCATTCTATTCTGCAAGTACTTCCTACATCTAATTTGACTCAACTTTGTTTACTAAGTTCTGGTGATGTCACTGTTATTCATAATTTCTGCTTTTCTGCATCCTTGTACGTCTGAATTATAGCATCTACTCATATTCATCATTGCTAAGCAGACTATCTGAAAATTGCATCCTAGCAACTAGATTATTCACCCTCTTAGGTCATGACTCCCAGTGGAAATTCAGTTATTCTTGGACACTTAACTCCTTTCTTTAAGAGAATATCACTTGAAGAAAATTCCAAAGCTCCGGAAAATGCTCGATCATGTACATTCAAAAGATGGGTGTTGTACTTGTGAGTGGAATATGGACTGAAGTAGGACGTCTCTGGACATTACTGGCATGGAACACATTCGAGAACGTTTATCAGTCATCAGATAAGGCGGCGATTTGGAATAGCTTACACGAGTTTGCGTCTTTACGGACATTCCGTCGTCAGAAAACTCAGTAAACATCAAATTAGGCAGAGAAAATACTCGAAAGATAAAGAGTGCATGAAATCAGCGTTCCAAGCTTCATTATGAACTGTTTGCTCACAAAAATTCTGAAAGGGACAGAGGAAAAACTCAGAATATTCCAGAGTTTCATATTGGGATTTTTAAGCTATCGGTGTGTACGAGATTGTTGCCTCAACACTTGTGAACTACTAGGATAAAGAGGAAAATATTAGGTCGGTGTAAAAGTTTTGTCAGTTTTTTTAATCCATCGGCAATCACGCTAGAATGAATATAAAGAAAGACTTCAGAATGTATCCGATGCAGAATTTCTTCCTCTTTCCAGCTGCAGAACTCCTTTTGTGTTTCGTTGCGAGAGTGACGAGATATTTGCTGCAAATTACAACCACTCGTTTTTACCATGTCCAGCTTTCGCTAATTTTCAAAATTTTTATATGAGACTTTCGAAGGAGCCCTGATACCAGCAGATAGGGCTAACCTTTTGCCAATTTATGCAATTTTTTCTTTTTATCAGCTGCTTTTCTAGATTTTTGCTAAGTAATTTTCTAAAGTCTCGTGTTTTGAAAAAATTGCATAACTTGTTATTGCACCAAACATTGCAAAACCTACAGAAAACTGAGGTTTCAGCACATGATTATCTCTACCGCTACCATTACAAATCAAATGAGCGATTTTCGCTTCAAATTATGAAGATTTTGAAACATAGGTTACGCCAGTGCGCACTCCTGAAATTGAGAAATACTGCGATTTTCCCCACAAATTTCGCCTGTCTCGGCAAAAAAAGACAAGTGTTAGAAAGAGGAGAAAAACCTGCATCGAATGGTGACTAAAGTGTCTAACATTTTATGTTCTACGAGATCAAAGTAGGCTGAATGTATAACTTGGTCACTTCAAAAAATAAATCTTAGGAATTCTGAAAGACCAGCTGTAGGGCTACAAAAAATTGCATAAGTTGGCAAAAGGTAAGCCCTATCTGCTGGTTATTAGTGCTCCTTCCAAAGTCTCACACAAAAATTTTGAAAATTAGCGAAAGTTGGACACGGTAAAAACGAGTGGTTGTAATTTGCAGCAAATATCTCGTCACTCTCGCAACGAAACACAATGGGAATTTAGCAGCTGGAAAGAGGAAGAAATTCTGCATCGGCTACAATTTGAAGTCTTTGTTTATCTTCATTCTAGCGTGATTGCCGATGGATTGAAAAAACTGACAAAACTTTTGCACCGACCTAATAAATGCTTGAAAATCTTACAGATAAGGCCGCTTTTCTGACCCACGTAAGTTCGACCTGCAGACCCTTCAGTTAAGTCCGCCCTACACATAAGTCCTTTCTTTCCTTTATAACTAACCTAAAAACTCAGTTAAGTCCGAAGACTTTCTGATAAGTCAGGACTTATCTGCAGACGGGCTTATCTAAGGAGAGGCCTTTGTGAGATTGGTACCCTGAATGTCTGGATCAGTCGCTCCTTTGAAAACTGTAATTTCTAGATCAATAATCTGTACTACATTGCAAAGTGGGGCTATGTATGTATATAAATCAAAATTCATTGGAGAGCTTTTCCAGAATCATACAAAGTGTTACCCGAAGTTATATTCTTAGTAAGTTTTTTTCGTTTTCATTTTTGGCTAGGCACTTCATAACAATCAATAACTATAAACTATACTAACCGCAAAGCATGAGCAATTCTATAGAAATCTCATCAGCTTTAACAAACTAGGTTGTTCATCACAGCTTCTTGCACTTCTTGTCACCATCAAATTTTTTCAATCAAGATATACTGGCTGAATCTCTTTGTTTTATTTGTCGTAGTGACAGTTATTTATATAAACATTATTTAGTTACTATGAAACGTAAAAAAGGAGTAAAAATGAGTTTTTCGTCAACTTAAAATGAGCTCAAAAGCACAATGTTTTCCTTCGGAGTTCTCTATTGTATTGCTTTGAAGATTCCATTGAAACTGAACAAAGTTAAGATTCCTTGAAAGTCGTGACTTAAGACTTATCCCTTACCCCAGTATGTTGTACCACTGAATTCTTTGAATCAGGACCCAACACAAATTATCTGGAAGCAGGCTGGACTTCGTTTTCGGGCGAAAAAGCAAAACGACATGGTTTTTGTGGGTCCGAAATAGATAAAAAACTAGGTTTTTTGAGTTTTCGATTTGGGTTGAAGCTGACTTCGTAAAAATTGCGGAAGTCGGGGGACTTGTTATCAAAAAACCTAGAAATGGACTCGTGACGGGCCCTGCTTTGAATACGTCACAAGAGCTTCACTCTTGTGGATGCTATTTAAGGTAAGGCATAATGTACGACAATTTGAAAATTGCGGGGTTAGAGGGCTATAACTGAGAGTAAAGCAATTTTTCCCTGCAACATTGACCCAATCCTGCTGCTTATTGTAGGTCAGACAAATCTCAGTCTATGACATATGGCGATGACGGCTCATTGCTCCTGTCTCTTCTGCTCGATGTGATCGTTTTCTGAATGCACCATTGATTCCAGACGAAGTATAGTATAGCTGAATTCATTCAGGGCAGTCTTCATGGAATTGCGTGGGGTTGCGTGGGTTGCTTTGTATAACTTTATAGAGAAAGTTCAAGCGAAAGTACGCTGAAACTTCATTTCTTAAGCAGAAATGTACACCATCTCTATGCGCATTATGCCATATGCATGCATTTGTTCCTTCTTAGAAGCTCATCTAATTAGGAAGATGAAAACTACTGCACTTCGGCGTTTTTATTTAAGAGATGGGAGAAGCAAGCCATTATCACTTCTGTTGTAAAACCATAGAGACCATAGAATATCTATTACGTAGCACGCTTTTCATCTTGCAAGCTCAGTCTTCAGGCTAAGATGGACTATCATTCTGAAAGTAACTTTAGCTGCATATATTTTTTTCTTCGTCACAAATGTTTGTGCAGTTTGAGTACTTCGGATCACTATAAAGTTCATTCATTTTTATTTCAACTTTGAAACATTTACTTGCTGACCTCTCACTAAATTGGAGCTACAAAATTGCAGGTCCTCTTACGAAAATTTTTTTTATACGATGATGAAGTTCAGCAATGTATCCTGTTTATGTCAGCTAGTTCTATTTGTTTCTTTTTCCAGTGCTCCCTCATTGTCTCCATCGCTGTAGAGAACCCATCTGTTGGGGGTAGGATCTTTGGTATATTTAGTACTGAGAAACATCTGTGTGTGAAACTTGCTTCAAAGTTCAATTCTTTACTGTATACATGAGCAAAAATTAGCTGCTAGATTCAACAAAATCTATGCTTTTGTACGAGACTCTGTGTTAGTTATGGCTAAATCTGACTGAGCTAAAGTAATCGATTAAGACAGCGATAATATAATTTCTTACAATAAACACTTTTTTTGTGAATATTATACACCTAGCACTGGCTTGAGTACAAAAGAGGACCCATTATCAGAGTGTGTAAAACGAACATCACAGTACATAACTTTTAGAAGATTCAAAGATCCTTTCAGATCCATAAAACATATCTGCAATTACCCCTTCCATAAAGATTTTTTTCCTGACTCATGGTAGAAGACTATGGCTATTTCTATCAATTGATATGAGTCATCTTGTTAAAAATACATTTTTGATCTCAAATCTTTGCGCTAACGCATTGAGAAGATTAACTTACGCAAATAGCATAATGGATCCCGAATGTCCTCCTCCAAAGATACCAATCGTTGCGTCTGAAGTGATGACATCAACTCCTTTGTA